TAGTCTGATGGGCTTCCCTTTGTGGGTAACCTGACCTTTCTCTTTGACTGCCCTTAACATTTTTTCCTTCATTTCAACTTTGGTGAATCTGACTATTATGTGTCTTGGAGTTACTCTTCCCAAGGAGTATCATTGTGGTGTTCTCTGTATTTCCTGAATTTGGATGTTGGCCTGCCTTGCTAGGTTGGGGAAGTTCTCCTGGATAATATCGTGCAGAGTGTTTTCCAGCTTGGTTCCATTCTCCCCGTCACTTTCAGGTACACCAATCAGATGTAGATATGGCCTTTTCACATAGTCCCATATTTCTTGGAGAAATGTTCGTTTCTTTTTACTCTTTTTTCTCTAAACTTCTCGCTTCATTTCATTCATTTGATCTTCAATCACTGATATCCTTTCTTCCAGTTGATTGACTCGGTTACCGAAGCTTGTGCATGCATCACGTAGTTCTTGTGCCATGGTTTTCAGCTCCATCAGGCCAGTTAAGGACTTCTCTGCACTGGTTATCCTAGTTAGCCATTTGTCTAATCTTTTTTCAAAGTTTTTAGCTTCTTTGCGATGGGTTCAAACTTCCTCCTTTAGCATGGAGAAGTTTGATCATCTGAAGCCTTCTCTCAACTTGTCAAAGTCATTCTCCATCCAGCTTTGTTCTGTTGCTGGCGAGGAGCTGCGTTCCTTTGGAGGAGAAGAGGTGCTCTGATTTTTAGAATTTTCAACTTTTCTGCTCTGGTTTCTCCCCATCTTTGTGGTTTTATCTACCTTTGGTCTTTGATGATGGTGATGGGGTTTTGGTGTTTATGTCCTTTCTGTTTGTTAGTTTTCCTTCTAACAGTCAGGACCCTCAGCTGCAGGTCTGTTGGAGTTTGCTGGAGGTCCACTCCAGGCCTTGTTTGCCTGTGTATCACCAGCGGAGGCTGCAGAACAGTGAGTATTGCAGAACAGCAAATGTTGCAGCTTGATCGTTCCTCTGGAAGCTTCGTCTCAGGGGGGCAACTGGCCATGTGAAGTGTCAGTTGGCCCCTACTGGAGGTGCCTCCCAGTTAGGCTACTCGGAGGTCAGGGACCCACTTGAGGAGGCAGTCTGTCCGTTCTCAGTTCTCAAACTCCATGCTGGGAGAACCACTACTCTCTTCAAAGCTGTTCAGACAGGGACATTTAAGTGCCTCTTGTTCAGCTGTGCCCTGCCCCCAGAGGTGGAGTCTACAGAGTCAGGCAGGCCTCTTTGAGCTGCAGTGGGCTCTACCCAGTTCGTGCTTCCTGGCCGCTTTCTTTACCTACTGAAGCCTCAGCAATGGCGGGCACCCCTCCCCCAGCCTATGCTGTTCTTGTATCAGAGGGAAAGAGCAGTGTCAGAACCTGGGGATAGCTCTTTGGGCTTCCAATCAGAAGTGGCCCATGTGGCTTCTGCTCACAACCAACTGGCTGTTGCAGGTCCCGTGGCCAAGCCTAATGCTAATGAAGTGGGAAGTATTAGCCTCCTAGAGTGAGGATCCCAAAGGGAAGGGCAGGGATTATATTAAGCAAATAATTCATCTATCACTGTATATTTTCTTAACCATTGATGTTCACTTCCCTCTCTCTTGCACACAAAATGCCCTCCAAGAAAATTAACCCAGGAGCCGCATCCAGTCAGAGCATCATGATCAAAGTCCTGGATGGTGCGATAGTCTGGATGGAGATCCTGTGGGTCTGGATACCTATAAACTAAAAGGACAGTTACCTGAACCCATATATCCAATATACAATATACAGTGAGCAATGGGACAGGATGGCCTCGGTAAACATTCCTTTGCAGAAAGGGGAAGCATGGGAAGAGCCAGTCCCAGGTCCATAGCAGTGGTGAAATTCCACTGGACAGACACTGTGAGGACCCTTGGTCTTGGAGTGGGAAAGTCTTCAGGTTACTCCCTGGTTCTGCTCCCTGGGTGATGCTCCCCAGCCTAGTGTTTTCCTTGGCTGTTGGCTTTGCCCTTGGGAAGTTCCTTCCTTTTGATACCTGCTTGGTGTCATATGAAGATGATACTGGAGAATAAGCTTTCTTGGGGGCAAAGCAGCTTTTTCATCCTGCCAGAGTAGGTTGGTGGCCCAGGATTGTTTTAAGTGCAACTCTAAAAACTTCAACAGCTTTTTATGACTTTGTTTCCAGTTGGCTCCATGTGTCAGTGGTTTGACCCACAGTTCTTTTTGAAATATGCCCCCTTCGTTAGCCTTAATTGTGGAGTTTTTGGATTTCCTTTGAAAATCCATACTTTTTTTCACTCTAAACAGTTTGGTCCCACTGAAAGCCTTTACTGGGAGCCTTTTGAAATTATTGGGAGATTTACTGGGAGCCTTTTGAAATTACTCAGAGGTTTAAACCAAAGGTTTGACAACCCTATCTATGATTTGGTCCCTGATAATGGGCTGAGTTTTAATTAGTCGTTGTCATGCAGAAGCTGATGTATATTGTCTTTGGCCAGTTGGAAATGAGAACTGGTTGTCTCCAACCCTGCGAGTCCTAGCATTTCTGGACGTTTCCTATTGCCTTCCGTTTTTGTTTTGCAAACCACAACTCTTGAGCTCATTTTTTCTTGTAATACTTTGTCAAACTCAGCCTATAAAACCAACTCACACTACTAATGTTATGTTTCCAGTCTCTTCTTGTAACATCACAAGCTCATGCTTTCATCCTTCATCTTTCAAGTTACCGGAGGCAATCGTTTCACCAAACAGTTCACCACCAAATTACATGGGTTGCCACCTTGCCAATAAGTTTCCTTACTGCCTGGCCTGGACTCCAGTGTCATCTAGTTTTGGCTTTTCGTTATGGCAGAACTCCACTTTGAGTACCAGTTTTTTAATGGTCAGTACAGGCCAGTTATGCCGTGATAGCAACAGCAAACCCTCAGAGACTTACGCCATGAAGGGTTCCCTCTTGCCACGTTACGTGACAGCTGTGGCTTTGCCCACATCTTCACTCAGATCATTTGCTGTTCTCAAGGCAGACAGGAAGGGACAACTGCAGATCCCCCACTGGCTCTGAAGGCTTTTGCTCACCTGTAGCTCGTGTCTTTCACGTTCAGTGTGAGAAAGCAGATGACATCGCCCCACCTGGGGCAGGGGGAGGCAGAAGCTCAATTCTTCGGGGATGGCCAGTGGATATTTTGGACAAATAATATAATCTATCAAAAGAGGTCAGTATAGTAGTGAATTTTTCATGTTTGATTATTTTGGATGATTTTTATATTATAAAATTGTTACTTCAGCTTGTCTGTGGAATCCGTATCTAAATGGGATTTGATTTCTAAACACTTTAGGGTAAAAGTAACAGGAATTTATAGTACTTTCACCTATTCTGCTTTTTAGTGGATTGCCATACAATGAAAGCCAAATGGGAGGTGTTCTAATTACTGAGATTGAAGGTGACAGGCTAGTTCTGGCCAGGACCTGTGGAGTCGTTATACTTTACAAGGGTGACCTGGGGTCCAGGGTCTCATGCTCAGCTTTGTAAACTTAGGGACTGAATAATGATCAGGCTTTGGGGGAAAGGATCATGCTAGTCAGACTCACAAAACCTACTGTTTCATCATAAACCTACTCGATTTACTTTTGCGGAACTGTGTGCTGGCAGGCAGGTGGAGGATAAATTATCATAAGCTCCAGATTACTTGATTTGGCCTTACTGTTGTTAAAATCATAGGTCACAAGTTTCAAAAATACTTTATTAGAAAACTGTTGATCCTTGTGCATTTGAGAATGCAAAGCATATTCATCGTTACTTCTAATTGATTCCAATTAAATGTAACTAGATTGAGAATAAGACCTTTTGACAAATGAGGAAATATATTACATTTACCTCTGACTAAGAAGAATGTCTTCGTAGGCCTGATTCACCTGAGACACTGGTTATATTTCCTAGCAGTTTCATGTTGATAGTGGACATTGGGTGGGACATTGGGTGGGATACAAGTAGTAAGGATGGTACAATCCCTGGAGCAGCTTAAATATTTTTGAGATAACAAAACCCACAACTCTGTGGGCCCTGGGATAGCTGGCGAGCACTGAGAATCCCTTGTTGCATGCCCTGAGGTTCTGCGTAGATGCCTGCCCGCTCTTCTCCCCCGGGCCGTGAGGGAGCTCCTCCAGGGTACAGCAGGAGTGTCTTCTGTGTTTCAGAACCTGATGACATTCGAAGATGTGGCCGTGGAATTCACCCAGGGGGAGTGGGGGCAGCTGAACCCTGCTCAGAAGGACCTCTACAGGGAGGTGATGCTGGAGAACTTCAGGAACCTGGCCTTTCTGGGTGAGCAAGGCCTCCAAAGCCCAAAGCCTGTCCACAGGACTTCTTGATGTCCTTGATGTGTAAGAGTTAGCGATGTCTGGGCCAGTTGACTGAGTCTTGCCCTGGGTTTCCTTGGGAAGTCTGGAATCAGACATTTACATTCTCTCTGGGGCCCAGTGATACGGTATTTCTGTTCCTAGTTCCAGGAAACATCCAGCTACTTATGGAGTTGAAATAGGAAGTTACCTGGTGTGTTCCTGATTTTTCACAATGCCTGTTCCCTGGAGGCTTTCCACACCTACAGTGTTTCTCCACCTTGAAGATGAAGATCCAAAGACTTGGCCACTGGCACACGCAACCAAAATCCTTTTCCTTCTCTACCGTCAGGCCTTCCAGTATCCAAACCATATGTGATCTGCCAGTTGGAGGAAGGGGGCGAGCCCTTCATCGTGGAGAGAGAAATCTCAACAGGGGCCTACTCAGGTGAGTGAGGCAGTGAGAGCATTGCATACGCTAAGGCCCAGCTGGGGTGGGAGGTAGCCCTGAGCCTTTGGTCAGGGTGCTGTCTTTTCAGAAGATGAACTCACTTGGCAGGAGCACTCAACTGTGGTATGTTGAAGTTTATAATTATTTCTGGTGTCAGAAGAGGAGATGTTCATTTTCTTTTCTAGGTTTTGTGCTTTGTTTGGTGCCCATCTCTGCCCATGCCTTCTGGGTTATTGGTGCCATGCAGCATCACGAGATGTCTCATAGTCAATGTTAGATGGATCAACAATCATATAGGGCCAGGCAGTCCTAGATCAGCAGAGTTAAGGAAGTTAGTGAGGGATCGGACAGAAAAGTTGAGCACCCCAGAAATGAAAGGGTTACAGGCAATGACAGGAGATGTCAGAAAGATCCAGGTGAGGACACTTCAAGCTTGATTAAGCTGAGTCTGAAAAAAAGTGGTTCCAGGAGCAAAGACCACTCCCTGACAGCCGTTGACAGCATCCCTTTGAGACCTGGGATTCTTAGGTGACTGGAGAGTACCTGGTAGGCTGTATGCCTTAGAGCAGAATTCTTGACTCAAAGCTTTCTGACTGCCGTGTGTGACCCAAGCACACTGGGGGCACATGACAGTCTATGCCCGTTCATTTCCATGAGCCAGAATCTTACCTGTGGCCATAGCTGAAGCTCAGGAAAGTGGTGCTAAATTTCTGAGAGGACAGGCTGGGCTTTATGAGAGGAACCTAGGTTTTGGCAGAGGGGGAAGATGCTGATCTCCTCTGTGCTGGTACTTACTTGATCCTTTTTCCTTCCAAAATGAGATCAAGGGTTTGACATCTGGATCTGGTCATCTGTTTATTTAACAGTGGTGTATAAGCATGGCTATGTTTCAGAACGTCCCAGGGAGCTTGTTACACATTCAGGTTCCCAGGAGCCACACAAGACCTGCTGACTCAGAAACTCTCTGACTGGCCTCTGGGACCACTGGTTAGGCATTACCAGTCATTTCCTTCTTCAGAAGTATGCCTGTTGTTATTATTGTATTAATTTCCCACTGTGGCTGAAACAGAGTGGCACAAACCTGGTGGCTTTAAACAACACAAACTCATGTCATAGTTCACAGGTCAGAAGTCTGGCACGTGTGTCACATGGTTCCAGCCAAGATGTCCACAGGGCTGTGTACCTTTCTGGAGTGTCTGGGCACCTTTTTCTTTTCATTTGGGTTGTTGGCAGCACCAACCCTTGCAGTTCTAAAACTGAGGTCCTTGTTCTCTTGCTGGCTATAAACAGATGGGTGTTCCCAGCTTCTAGAGACTCCAGATTACTTGGCTGAAAGTGTGCCTTCTCCATCTTCAAAGCCAGCAGCGGCTCACACACCTTTCCGTGCAGCCAGGAAATGCTCTCTGATTTTAAGCACGCGTGATTAGATTTGACCTATTTAAATAGTCCAGGAGAATCTCCCCATCTCCAGCTCTGAGCCCTTAGTCACATCTGCAGAGTCCCTCTTGTCATGTAAGGTGACCACTCACAGGTTCTTGTGCTTAGGACATGGGCATCTTTAGGGGAGAGTTTCTCTTCCTGTCGTAATCATGTAGAGTGATATGATACGTGTGATATGTGTATGTGCATAATATATAATAATATAGAGTATGCACTAAGGTGTTAAAGGAATACTTCGTGGAGGACATGAGCTTATACCTGAAAGGTACACAAAGTCTTAAAGAAAGTGGTGAGAGGGGCAGTGGATATATGGGAAACAGGAAGGCAGCCAGTTTCTGTGCTCAAGGCACTTGCTGAAAAAGAGGACAGGACCTGGTGAAGTATTATAGACCTATAGTGAAAGATTAAGGGTTTATCCTGTAGGCACTGGAGAGCCTTTGGAAGATTAAGACTGGGAAGAAACTTAAGGAAATGGGCATTTGGAAAAGAAGAAAGTGAAGGGTTTCAGGAAACCTGGAGGTAGGAAGACTGGGTAGAACTCTGTTACAATTATGTAGGCCTGAAGAAATTGTGAGAATATAGAATCTGTACCTGGTGACTTACAATCCTATACTTGGTTTATTGATTTTTGTCCCCATCCCTTAAACTTAGTCTGTTTCCCTTGTCACCCTTCCTACCCTCCTCTCATCTTTGGTCTTTGGACTCACCTTGTGTACTGGAATCTAAACACAGATCTCTCAGATTTTCTTAATCTCCAGTCATCTGCTCATCCCTTGTTCTCGATACTCCAAAACCATTTTCAGACATAAGCCATTATTGAAAAAATCTATACATCCCTTTTAGGTATTATTTTAAAGCTTGATTATTTCACATTTATTATAGGAGCTTGCTTTTCTTGGTACATAGGACATTCTACATACTAGAATGTCTTCATTTTTTTTTAAACAGACTGGGAGAGAAGGTCTAAATCCAAGGAATCAGTGCCAAGTTGGGGAATTTCCAAAGAAGAATTATTCCAGGTAGTATCAGTGGAAAAACATATTCAAGATGTGCTGCAGTTCTCAAAGTTGAAAGCAGCCTGCGGTTGCAATGGCCAGTTAGAGATGCAGCAGATGAAACAGGAGACACATCTGAAACAAATGTCAACCACTCACAAATCTGCTACCACCCTTAGCAGAGATTATGAATGGAATGGATTTGGGAGAAGCTTAGGTTTAAGATCAGTCCTTGTTAACCAACACAGTGTTCTAATGGGAGAAGGGTCTTATAAATGTGGCACCGAATTCAGGCAGACTCCAGAGGGAAATGACTCTCAGAGAACCCATCCAGAGAAGAGATCTTGTAAATGCAATGAATGTGGGAAGTCCTTTCACTTCCAGTCAGAACTCCGGCGCCATCAGCGATGTCACACTGGAGAAAGGCCCTATGAATGCAGTGACTGTAGAAGAGCCTTTGGTCATATTTCATCCCTTATTAAACATCAAAGAACTCATACTGGAGAAAAGCCCTACGAATGCAGTGAATGTGGGAGAGCCTTCAGCCAGAGCTCGTCTCTTGTTCTGCACTATAGATTTCACACGGGAGAGAAACCCTACAGATGTAATGAGTGTGGACGAGCCTTTGGCCACACTTCCTCCCTTATTAAGCATCAGAGGACTCATACTGGAGAAAAGCCCTATGAATGCAGGGAATGTGGGAGAACCTTCAGCCAGAGCTCATCACTCATTGTGCATTACAGATTTCATACTGGAGAGAAACCTTACAAATGTAATAAATGTGGGAGAGCCTTCAGCCAGAGTTCGTCTCTCACTCAACATTACAGATTTCACACTGGAGAGAAACCCTACAAATGTAATGAGTGTGGAAGGGCCTTTGCTCACACTGCATCGCTTATTAAACATCAGAGAAGTCATGCTGGGAAAAAACCCCTATGAATTCAGTGAATAGAGAAGGGCTTTCAGCTGGAGTGCAGATATCACCAGAACTTAAAGAATTCATATCAGAGAGAGATCCTGAAGGTGTAATGTGTGTGGGAAGACCACCTCTTGTTCCACATCAGGAAATAATTACTAAAGAGAATCCCTATCAATGTCAGGAGGGGGTGGGCCTCCCTTCTTTTACCAAACACAGGAGAATCCATACTAGTGAGAAACCATGTGAATGCAATGAATGTGGAAAGGCTTCGATCAGAGGATGCATATTATTCAGCATCAGACAGCCGACACTGAGGAGGAGGCTTATCAACGCAGTGAGTGTGGCAAGCCTTCAGTTACATACTGATTGTTTAAGAAAATCAGATAACTTGTATTGGAGAGAAATTCTACAAGTGTGGTAAGTATGGAAAAATCTTTAGTTGTATCTCTTCCTTTACTAGGCACCAAGAACACGTACTAGAGAGAGGCCTATGAAAGCAGGAAATAGAGGAAGGCCTTCAGTCAGAGCTCATCCCGTATTAAGCATCAGAAAATTCATACCTGAGAAAAACCTGTGAATGTGGGCATGTGGGAGCGCCTTCCGCCAAACCTCATTGCTGTATAAGCCCCTTAGAACTTTCCCTACTAGCTGGAAACTCTGGTAATGTGATGAGCGTGGGAAAGGCTTTCATGGATGTTCCACAAAAACACGTTAGAGAATTTGTACATTAGAGAATTTGTGCCAGAGCAACTCTTCAAATTTAGTGAAACTGGGAAAACCCACTAGTACAGTTCAAACCTCAGTATTCACCTCAGAGAGAAACCTTGGGAACATGATAAATGTGAGGAAAGTTCCTTTCCAGGTTGAGATGTATAAAACTAGAGCTGAAAAGAAGCTGAGAAATGACCTTGTCTGGTGATTTTTTGCCTGGTGGGGCCATTTGTATAACCACACTTGTGCATTGCCTCCTCATGCTGTTACTGACGGGGCAGGGTGCCATGCATGGTGCAGAGGATGGAGGCTGAGAAAGGGAGATGGCTACCCGTGATCTAGCCCAGTCGTAGTTTAGAGCTAATGAAACTGATGTTCAAAAAGCGACAGGCTGGGCCTCTTTCCTGTGGTTCACAGCTGTAGCATGGAGATTAGTAGACTGGACCTTTCCAGCACAACACCTCCATGCACTGCTTTCTCTGTAGCACATGTTACCTTTCTTTGTGAGGCAATGGAGTGGTCTAGGATTGAACAAAAAGCAATTTTCATTACATCTTTATGCTAATAGATTTGGAATTTTTGAAATGAAATGAAACCTTGTTTAAACATTAAAATTACTAAAATATGGGTACATTATACACAATCCATATCTCCAACACATGATTCTAAGTGAAAGAAGGCAGATGCCAGAGACCACGTATTTTCTAGTACCATTTTAGGAAATGTCCAGAAATGGCAGATCTTTAGAAACAAAGTAACTGCAAATGTTACAAGGAATCTTTATGGGGTGATGAAAATGTTCCAAAACTATATGGTGGTGATGGTTGAACAATTTGGTAACTTCACTAAAAATCATTGAATTGTTCACTTTATATGGGCAGATTTTATGGCAAATATACCTCAATAAAATCATTTTTCAAAATCAAATTTACAGATATACCAACCATTGCTAAACAAATGTTCCTGTTTTGTTTGTTACTTCAAGCCATCTGTGCATTTTTGGTGTCACTTTCTATTTTCTATAACAGTTACCCCTGCATGTACTGGGTCTCAGAACCTTGTCAGACTCTTCTTTAGAGTCCCTACGATGTTGGCTCGGTAACCCCGGTGGAGAAGCCTAGACCAGGAGCTGGTGTAGACCGAAGGATACTTGCCTAATAGGATTAGCCTATACCGAGGGAAATCCTTCAACTATTTAAAGTCCAGATGAGGAACTTGAGCCCAGAATTCAGGGAAGCAGCACAAAGCGGGCCCATGCAGACAGGCTGGGTCTAAGAGTCCACAAGGTTGGCCAGGGCAGGCGGGATGCACAGGGGGCATCTGGATCTGGAAGTACTTGGACAACTGAGGTTGAGATGCCAGTCTTGGAGCCCAAAAATCACACAGAAATTTCTTCCCAGACAGCCAAGGTTTACAGGAGCAGAAATAGCAAATATTTTCTTGCTCCATCTCTCCCTTTTTTCCCAGTGCCCTTTTCTGTACCTACCCAGATCGCTTTATACCTGGACATCTGTCACAATTTTGTAACTGGTCTTTGTCCAAAATCTGTTCTTCTCTTGTATCCTTGCCATGTTAACCATACTCACCAGTTTGAACCCAGTGTCCTGCCCCCCAAAAATCCTTTGCACTTCCTCCAAGATAAATCCTCACCCCTGTGTGTGGTATACAATGTCCTCTTTAGGCTGCCCCAACCTCCTGCTGCTCCTGACAGAAGCCTCCGTTGCACACAAACGCTCGCTTATCATCCCTCAGACAAGCCTTTCTACTTCTCAGCCTGTAAACCTTTACCTTACTGTTCCATCGGCCTGGGGCACCTTTTCTACCTACGTGAAGCCTACGTAATCAGTCAGAAACCCGTGTAACTTTCCCTTCCTCGGAGAGGTGTTCTCTTGAAAACTGATATGAAGTCGTATCTTACCATCTGTGATCATAAACATTTGTTCGCATAAGTTTTTAAAAACGGATGATATCGAGACTTGTGGTAAAGCTTATCGCCGTCTTGATCTATTTAAATAATTTTTATCACTTTACCACTTTCTTATTTCCTGAACCAGCTGACAACAGAAAAAGTCAAATGGTAAAATATTTTAAGAGATTTGTTCTGAGACAAATATGAGTGACCTGTAGGCATAGTTGACCAGCATTTGCCTTAAAACAGAGACCTTAAGACAAACAAAAACAGACTCTTTGTAGCAATAACAACATGACAGTAAGTCCTGAGAGAAATCAAAGTGTTTTACTCCAAAATAGATTTCTCTTAAGTCTGATAAGAAACCAGTCTGACAGAGCCCCAGGGGATCCTGAGAACATGTGCCCAAAGTGGCTCTTGTCAGGAGCAGCAGGAGGTTGGGGCAGCCTAAAGAGGACATTATATACCACACCCGGGGGTGAGGATTTATCTTGCAGGAAGGGCAAAGGATTTTTGGAGGGCAGGACACTGGGTTCAAACTGGTGAGTATGGTTAACATGGCAAGGATATGTGAGAAGAAGAGACAGTTGTGCTGTCAGGCTACAGCTTGGTTTCAT